ATCCCAGAGAAGCCAAAAATCGAGAAACTGAGGCTTACTGCAGACGACTTGCAGCAGTACGGTAGGTTGCATGTCACTTTTGAGGACACAGAGGAGTGTAGTTTGTTGAGTTGGTCACCCCGACTTACAACCTGTTCCCGTATCCTTATTCCTGCCTCTGTGAGCATTAGCTAACGTGACGTAGAGTCCGGTTTGCTTGTCTTCAAGCTTATCGATGGCGAATTCGCAAGAACAGGTGGTCATGTCGATGTCATTATGGATGACATGGCCTACGCCAGCTATTCCAGCGCAAAGATCCGGAGCAACAAGATGACATTCAACGATGGTAGGTTCTGTCCGGATCCGAATCAACAGCTAAGCTAACCGTGATGCAGTTGGTGACACAATGATCCGTGAGCTCGACTTCTCCAAGATCACCCTCCGAATCATCGAACACGTCGACAATGATGGCGAGGACCATGAAGACCATGTCATTGCTAAGCTGACAGGAAACACTGTCGATACGCTGCGGAGATCTCTGAACACACCCACCCAATTCACACTCAAGGACAAAAACGGACGTGATAACAAGATCACCGTCATGCTCAAGTACATTCCCGTAAAGATGCGTCTTGACCCCAGCGAATCATTCAACAACCAAGGCACGTTGCGAGTAGATGTGCTTGATGCGGCAGATCTTCCAGCTGCGGACCGTAACGGCTTCTCGGATCCTTACTGCAAGTTCATGCTGAATGACAAGGAGGTGTACAAGACCAAGACACAAAAGAAGACTCTCCACCCAGCATGGAACGAGTACTTTGAGGTACCTGTACGAAGTCGAACAGCGGCTGACTTTGTCGTCAATGTCTACGATTGGGACTTTGGCGACAAGGCAGACTTCCTTGGCAAGTCATCCATCAACTTGGAGATTCTGGAGCCTTTCCAGCAGCAAGAGGTCACGCTTGCTCTTGATGGCAAGTCAGGCGCCATCCGACTTCGAATGTTGTTTAAGCCAGATTACGTCGTCCGATCTCGTCAGGGCTCGAGTACATTCTCTGGCACCTTTGCTGTTCCAGGCAAGGTCATCGGTGCGCCCGTCAAGGGCGTTGGTAAGGGCGCCGCATTTGTTGGTGGTAACGTGGTCCGCGCAGGCACTTTCCTTGGCCGTGGTTTCAAGCGTAGAAAGTCGCGCGGCGAAGCCCCTGAAGAGGAGCTTGAACGACCAAGCACTGCAGAACGACCCTCCGCAGATACGCCCATGATCTCCGTCGAAGGCGAGCCGAACACACCTACTAAGGATAGTGCGAACCACAACAGACACCGCAGCTGGGGCGCTCAGAGCTTCCACAGCCGGTTTGGCGACGGCGGTGCTGGAGGTGCCGAGCAAGGCACAGCCAACATCACCGTTCTCAGCGCTGATGGCTTCCCTGCTAACACCAACCTACGGGTACACATCCAGCTCGGCAAGAAGGAAATTCACAAGACCGATCACATTAAGGCACCCCAAGGTTCTGTATCCTTTGATTCCAGCGAAGAGAGCTTCAAAGCATCTTGTACCGCCGATGCCTTCTTCAGGCTCGTTGTCAAAGACCATAGCAGGTTCGGTGGCGACAAAGAACTCGGTGAAGCTCAATTTACCATCTCAGACCAGGGTGGTGGTGCCGAGCAGAACATTGGCGTAGGCAAAGGCATGGTATCTATACGCAGCAGCTTCCAGCCTAGTGATACAGGGAGCCAGCAGGATAGTGTCAGTCCACGGCCGAAGACGTCGGAGAGAAGGGGATTGCTAAGGAGGGATCGAAGTACTACGCCAAATCCCCCGGCTTAGAAAGCTTTAAATCCTTTACACCGGCTACGAAAAAATGGGAGCAAGGTTAGCTTTGCCGCAAGTGGAATGATGGGTCGCCAGCAGCAGGGGGCCTCTCTCAATGAGGAGAGAACTGGCGCGTTGAGGGATTGGATTGAGGATGTCGAGAGGGGTAGACGGTCTTTTGCACTCTGAGGTTTGGAATGGGTCTGGCAAAGGAAAAGAGCTGCATCGGCTAGTGGGGTTTCTTTGCGTCCACTTTCTCTCTATTGTCTTAGGTCCGACATGGTCGACTTTCTTCATTCCTCTTCTTTCTGACTGTAATTCGATACCAATATTATCTCATTGCCTACAATTCATGATACGTGCTCTTTTCTACATTCACCTTGCATATTTCGCTCAACGGAGCGGCTAATTAACTTATACGACAGGAGAAGGTTCATTATGTTCTACGAATGTTACGGAAAATGAAACGCCCTCCAGAACCTCGATTACTACCATTCAATACAATGGCCATAATCAGCAGTGGTAACTACAGTACACAATTCTGTTTGCTTAAAGTGAACGTGACATTCGTTCGAAGCCATTGCGTGCTTGTCTAGCAGGCTGACATTGTGCAAATGACCAGGCAATGACGTGGAAACAGCAAGTGAATGAGCGATTGAGCAAGATAAAAAGGCAAAGATTGCTCATGAATTCCAGACCCTTATATTGTCTGTGTATAAAATCTTCTTCAATTGTGTATAGATGTTTTCTCCAGTAACTTCCGCTTCTGATCCTTCCTCAACGACGCCTTCGATCGACCACTTACTATCATGGCGGACTCTAATAACCCAGCCCCCGAACCTTCTTCGACTACAGCACCCCTCGATATGGACTGGGCTCGAGATGAGCTGGTTCCCTTCCTGCAGTCGGTATTCGCGCAACCAGGCAAACCCGCGGATGATTGGATGAAGAGTATCCTTCATGCGAGGCGCAATATACATCTAATAGTGAGTAAACTGAGCGCTACCCTTTGAAGGACAGCTGCACTAGGAAAACACCAAACATTTTCTCCTGACTTGGCAACAAGAAAGTAACATGTGAAACGCTCCTGAGATATTCAAAAGGCACATCACTATCTCCTGCTCCTAGGCACTGACACATACAACACAGCCCTTTTACGAAGACTTTCCATTGACGATTGAACGTCTTCGCCTGACTCTACTCAACTCGGAAACCCTTACGCCGAAGGAGCTGTCGAAATTCACGAAGGTCATTGAGCTGGGTAGCCAGATGTGCATTCGTATATTCGTACACCATGCATCTACACAAGGGCCATACCCGCTCTTCTCGCTCGGTCGAGATCCAAATCCAGATCTCCGACGAGGAAATCAGGCTAGGGGCAGCCGCCCTGCTCGGACACAACCGCCGCAGCTCATGGATGAGAACAGGGCGCTGCAGGAACAGATGAGCGTTCTCAACCTCGAAACTGAAGGCCATCACGGAGGCAGATATGTTCAGACAATTCGGCCACGGCAGCTTCGTGGAGGATGCGGAGGACATCCAGATAACGGCCATCACTTTAATCGAGGAGCGCGTGTGTCTCAGGCGGTGCAGCAGCCGTCCCCGCAATACCCACCAGCTCCATTTGGTGGATACAATCAGCCCTACGACGATCCTTCGATGGCGCGTACTTCATACACGCCTACTTCATCGATAGCTGGGTACGGTATGCAGCATTATGGCAACCCTCCACCGCAATCGTACAGTGAATGGAATGTCAACCAAAGCTACCACAACGCGCAACAAGCCAACTCTGCTCAACCACGAGCCAATAACGCTTACCCAATGTCGCCACCACAAACAATGCTTGTTCCGCAGCAATTCCGCGTGGCCAGTCGTCAAGGACAACAATTTCAACACCGTCGTGCTGCTTCAGCGGGTCAACAAGGTCAAGTATTGGCACAGAATGAAAACCATTCGGTACCTCCTCTGGGACAAGCTTCATCCTCAAGAAGAGCTAACAGTTCCGTGCTCCGTCCTGAAGCGAGACCATTCACTCCAGGTGATTCTATCTAGTAAAACCATCTGAAGGTATCGCTAACCTCTATTAGGATCCAGCGCTACGGATAATTGAACGTCGATTTCAATTAGCAAGGAAATTCGGAGGGGCCGAGATGTGTAAAGATAAGGGCAAAAGGCTTGAAAAGATATGCTGCATAGCTTGCGATCCGCCTAAGTGAAATGCAACCTTCATCCTTTCGGAAAACAGATAGCCACAGATGTGCAATTGAAAGCCGCTGGTTGGTGCGGTGTTGGCTCCGCCAACTTTTCCTCCAGATTTCCGCTTGACGACCGTGCTCGTTAGCGCGAGGTTTGCCCGAACACCAATATTATCCACCGCTTCATCATCACTTGAGCACTTTTGCAACGCCATCCCAACCACGCCCCTTCAGCCATCGTCTCGCGCGTGATCAATTTCAGAAGGAGGTAACAATAATGAAACGCTTATACTGATAACCATACATCCAAGCCCTTGGCTACCATTCTCACGGAGATCCTAGGTCCATTCAGGCGCGTTGCAATTGTGACTAGGGCCAGAATGGGAGGTGACAAGACCAAGAAATGGAACAAAACTTGGCATTTCTGGCGCGCCCGCATGGAAGCTTCGACGACCGTTATCTTTTCCTGCTTAGCACAGCTTGGCACGTCTTTTTCGAACGTTCCGCCGCGCCTATGGTGCAAGGCTGGTCGCTCGTATTGGCGCCCGGATCCTTTGCTCATTCCTATCTTATCCTGACCCTGGGGCTACCACGGCCTTGGATGCCTCTAAGTAACGCGCTTAACTGCGGCAGTATGTCTGAGGGGTCGCATTATGATCCTTCGACCGGACTAGGCGCCGTCCCATGGTCTTGGATGTTGTTGATGTGCATGTAGCAGTGATAACACATGACAACCGAACGAACGAGATGCTATGGCGAAAGTGGACACGCTCGATAGTCGCGTGCGACCCTTGTGAAACTCCTGTCCAATGCTTCGGTCTGGTTCCCGATTTGCATGTATATGAAGAGGGTAATGGTACACCTGTTCGCCGCAGGCATTCAAGTCCATCGCCCATTGCGTTTGCTTGACCCCCCACCGCCAGCGTGTGATCTCGCACATTCAGTTCTGCGGTTGTATCCTATTACTCCTGATCTGCCTCGAAGTTTGATTTAATATCATCTTCAGCACAATGGCGGCCACTACCAACGTCAAGGCGTCTCTGGAGATTACCAAGGGTGCTACTGCTACCGACCCAATTCCAATCGACACCAGCTCTACAGGTTCTATCAACGATGAGCACACCAACCTTTTGGGTCCTTTCCCTACTGAGGAGGAGTGGGCCACTCTTCCCAGGGTTGCCGGTCGCATTCCATGGCAAGCATGGACTGTAGCTGCTGTTGAATTCGTCGAGCGCTTCAGTTACTACGGTACCAGTGCCGTCTTCGTTAGTGAGTGGACTTTGGAACACCATTCTTTGGCATGTATTGACTGTCATCAGACTTCATCCAGAAGCCACTTCCCCCTGGCTCCAAGACGGGTGCTGGATTTCTCAAGAAGCCCGGTAGCGGTGCCCTAGACATGGGACAACGTGCTTCGACCGGTCTTACAATGTTCAACCAATTCTGGTCCTACATCACACCTCTTGGCGGTGCCTGGCTAGCTGACGAGTACTGGGGACGTTACAACACCATCCAGTACTCGAATCTTATCGCTCTCATTGGCCATGTCATTTTGATCATGTCTGCCATCCCCGCCGTCATTGTCAAGCCCAATGTCTCCATCGGTATCTTCGCTGTCGGTCTCGTCATCATGGGTATCGGAACTGGTGGTTTCAAGAGTAACATCTCGCCGCTCATTGCCGAACAGTACAAAGACCAGAAGGCCTACGTCCGCGTCAAGAAGAACGGAAGCAAGGAAATTGTCGATCCCGCTACCACCACTGCGCGTATATACATCTACTTCTACTTCTTGATCAACTGTGGTTCTATCTGTGGTTCTCTTGCCATGGTTTACTCAGAGGTAATTGCCCTGTCAAAGCATGTTCAGCAACTATGCTAACGTCATTCAGCACTTCGTTGGTTTCTGGCTTTCATACACACTGCCGACTATCTGCTACCTACTATGTCCGATCATTCTCATCACCATGAAGAAACACTACAAGCTCTCGCCACCCACTGGATCTGTTATGGGCAAGGCTTTCAAGCTGATTGGTCTCGGCATCAAAAAGTCACCCCGCAAGAACACATTCAAGGATGATGGTTTCTGGGACAGGATCAAGCCTAGTGCCCTTCGCGCTAGTGGTGAGAGCGTCCCTGACTGGATGACCTTTGACGATGCCTGGGTCGACGAAGTCAAGCGTGGTATCCTGGCCTGCAAGGTTTTCCTTTGGTACCCTCTGTACTGGCTCGCGTACAATCAGGTATGAGATTTGAAGAGCTTAGCAAGTATCTTGAGCTAACGATTGTAGATGACCAACAATCTTGTGTCTCAAGCCAACACCATGAACCTCGGAAAGACACCGAACGATATCGTCTCGAAGTTGAACCCCATCTTCATCGTTATCCTCATCCCAATCATGGACTTCCTCATCTACCCCGGTCTGCGCAAGGCTGGTGTCAACCTCTCGCCCATCAAGAAGATCACTGCTGGATTTGCACTTTCTTCGTTCGCCATGGTGTCTGCCTGTGTCATTCAGTACTACATCTATAAGATGTCGGCATGTGGTGATAACATTAATGCCCTTAGCAAGACCCGCGATGACTGCAGTGCCGACATCTCCGTCTGGGTCCAAGTCTTCCCCTACGGTCTGATTGGCATGTCTGAAATTCTGGCATCTATCACCAAGCTTGAGTACGCGTACACTAAGGCACCCAACAACATGAAGTCTACCATCCAGGCTGTCGCTCTCTCCACCTCTGCTGTCTCCGCTGCTCTTGGTCAGGCCTTTGTCAGTCTGTCCGAGGACCCACTTTTGGTATGGAACTATGGTTCTGTCGCTGTTATTGCCATGTTTGGTGGCATCGGTTTCTACATGACCTTCCGCAAGGCCGATGCTCAAGAAGATGCTATGAACAACATGAAGGAGAGCAAATACATTGGCGGTCGTGAGGTTGGTGACGCTGAAAACGTCGAGACTCTTAGCGTGAGGGACGTCAAGAACGAGAAGAGTGGCTTGTAAGCGAGATCACTGGGTTGGTAATGGGTATATGATAGTAATGATTTGGATGGGATTTATATATGAACAGTTCTACTTCCCCAGATCTTTCCGTACAACCAACCCATCCTTTGCCGCATGTCTGAGCCACCTCAAGCCATATCAGAAACGAAACAAATAGTGAATATACCGCGATCTGATTCTTAGAAAGTCTGCTTGAGGTCAACAAGGCTCTACTTCCAGACATCAGATTGGCAAGCATAATACAGCCAGGAGGTCATGGGGCTTTTCGAAGCTCTCCAACGAGGTCTAATGATAGGGACTGGTGGTACACAACTTACTCAGATAGCCACTCCGCCACCACTAGCACCTCCACCTCGACCACCTCCAAAACGGCGCCTGTCTCCAATACTACCCCAAGGATTTCCAATTGGAGAAGAATCAGGTACTGGTGCCTTGCCTTTCTGCCCAGGCGCATTGGGGACACTGTCGTCTGGAGGGGGGCCAAAAGATGGGAAACTGATGTGTGGGAGCTGATCTGGAGTCGCACCAGCAGACCTAGCAGATTTGACTGCTGTCTCATGAGAACGCATGGCTTGGATTGGTGGCGCCGTCGGAGGTAGCATGAGACCACCGTACTGCTGGTAGTGGCGGTACAGGAGGATATCGACAAGTGACCGGTTTTGACGAATCCAGTCCATGGAAGCGTGACCGAGTTCTGGGTCAGCGATGCGTAGGATGAGTTCGTGAATCAAGGCAGGATTTCGGTCGAAATCATCCTGATCGTGAGTTAGTATCATCTTGGAGCAATGGTTGAAGAGAAGATGAATGCGGACTTACGATGGTCTCGCTGAGGAATATGGCGTTATTCATGTCCGGGTCGTAATTGTAATTGGGACGAGCTTGTCGTGAGTTATCTCGGACTGTGTACGCCCAGCGCATGAATGGGGTTACAGACTCGCCGTTCCAGCGCTGGAGAGGGGTTGGTACGTCTTCTCGGAGATGGTGGACAGTTGGAGGGATTCGGTGACCAGGAAGAGGCGGCTGACTGAAATGAGGAGGGGACAAGAGCTCGATACCGGTACGAGAAGGGATTCGGCCATGGCGAGGAGCGTTGTAGGGGTTTTGAGACGAAGGTTGCCCGTCGCTTCGAGAAGGTTGGTTGGCTTGCGAACCAGACATCCTGGCGGTTCACTGAAAGAAGATTTTCGCAGGATATGCAAGGGAGAATTGAACCAGCAGGATAAATGCAATGTATATAACCTAGAGATGTTGTTAAGGTAGCTCTGGAATTTTCATCAACAAGAGAGTTGAGGAAGGAGGAAGTTCATTATATATCTTAATAGCGGAGATCAAATCGAGATGAGGGGCGTTTGCTTTCCAGCGTGACCTTGGATTTTTTGAGATTAGGTGTGCGTGAGAGGATGTATCTGTGACGCTTTTGAGCAGGTTTGCGCTCACTTCTAGTTATGAGTAAGAAAACCTGCGTTTGCAATTATACCTAGGTAGCTATAGTAGTGGGTGTAAAGAGGTAAGTCTTTAGGTTAGGTGTCTTGTACTAATTTAATTTCTAGATTAATCATAGTTCAAGTGAAACGACTAGGAGTTTTCGACCTAATGTTGTGTGCGAGAAAGTGAAATGATAGCTAAGGCCGTTGAGACATAGATATCGTTGATCATGAACACTGCCTATTACAAAGATCATCAATACTAAATCAACACTATGGATACATCAATACATAACGCCTCATGTGACTCTTCTGCTTACTTTCTTTACCTAGGATAGAGCTCGTTCTGTCTTGCCCTACGAGACCTTTGTAAAAAAGAAAACTTACCTTCTTCAATGAGTTTGTTAGATTGCCACAGCTTGCTGATGAACGGTAGAGAACGTCGGCTTAAAGGTTCTTCCTGTGACACACGATTATACTACACACAAGGACTCCCTTTTCAGAAATCGTGTGCTAGACTCGTGACATATCAGAGACGCCCGCAAACAGATGGGTCCGATACAGACGTCTAGTGTAAATCATTCTCCTTCGTATCCAAGTTATTTCGTCGACTTTGCTGGATTTGAAATCGCCATTTCCTATCGCGGTTTGTCAAGTACATTGATGCACTACAGCATACACACCTGCGTCATTCGGTAACTGTCTCTACGATATTAGTACGTGGATTGGTCATTGCGTAATCGCCATGAAAAGGAGATTTACATGAAGCTGTTGAACAAGAACTGATCTTGAGAGAATGCTCATAGGATCTTTGATCATGATGACGACAGAGGTCCGCAGATGTGGAACGATCAGACTCAGACGCTAATTTGATATAGTTTCCTGTTTAAAGAACGCAGAACTTACAATTTCCTTTCACCACATCAATAGCCGATTGATAGGATACGAGTTGTGAACTCGTGCACGAATGGCAATACTGTTGGGCATTCGGCAAAAAGCAAGGAGTGCTCCTACGTGATTTCGACTGATCGCATTGGCCCGCTCCGGTTTCCGACCCACATCATCCCCAGGTAGACTCCACTCGATCTGGGGCGATGCGGGAACAGCCTCGACATGACACAGTGGCCCACCTGTGATATCACAGCCTGGGACTTCGTCTTCGCAATGTACTGATGGATCAACCACACGAAGAGCGGACCGGCATTCGAAATTCTAATGTTGGCGGTGACAACTAGGTCAGCAAATGATACGTCGGATTCCAAACATGATTTAGATAAATGAGATTGAACGATGACTGGGTTATTCAATAACGACATGCATGCCATGAAACCAACCAACCTGGCAGTCATGCATGATGGCTGCGCTCCTGTAGGAGTGCAACTTGCAAGATCGAGCCCCTACTGAGCATTGGGTACGTTGCAACGCATAGGATACGGCGGTACACAGTGTTACGCTCACTTTGACCTGTCCCTGCTTTCCCATTCTCAAGCGTCGAACAGGAGTCATATGCAAGCCATAAAGTCGGATGGCTTCCAGTGCGCGCACTTGCTATAACCGTGACGGTACCCCCATTACAGACATTACATATCAATCCTGCGGAAGCGATATCGAGCGCAAGTCTTTTTGTTATGGCACTAACCATCAAGGCGCTGGCCATACGAATATTGTCAACGATGTTTGCGAGAGCAATGGTCTATGCCAGAATTACGAAGCTTTTGACGGAACAAATGAAGGTGTGGAGTTGTGGTGGAGACAAGGGTGTATAGATCCGACATGGCAGAGTGTGGAATGTCTGGGAAACGTCTGCAATGAAAGCATAGTAAGTTGTATTGTTGCGCACGATGATTGGCGATATTGATGTTAGAAAGTGGCAGGCCGATAATATGCCAGTGAGGGAATGCGGAGACGACAGTTGGTGTTGTAGGGATGCGAGCTGTTGCAGTGATACGGCAAACTTGTTTGCGCTGGTAGCGGTTGCGGGCGAACCAGTGTCTTCGACCTCAACATCATCATTGCAATTGGCACCTACGGTAGAATCATCACTACCAGCTTCTTCATCGACACCTTTATCAACATCTTCGTCAACACCAACATCCACGCCAACAGACACAGCATCGTCAACACTTACTCCACGGACGTCTTCGAGCGCCATCTCAACCTCTCCGACTGCTGGTCCGCCGTCCTCAAGATCAAACGCATCAAATCCGCCGCAAGGGCTCAGCATAGGAGCGCGCGCAGGAATTGGTATTGGTGTAGCCTCGATCACGATACTACTTGTGCTCGTTGCGCTCTTAGCCTCGAAGGTAGAAAAGAGAAGAAGACAGGAGTACTGTAGAGTTACCGCATAACCCTCTCCACGAGAAGTACCAGGAAATGAGCTGTTATTCTCCAGCGACACCCGCCGAACTCTATGCAGGGAATGTAGGGATCCAGCGGAATTAGAGATAGGACAGAAGACGACACCGCAAGAAGAGCGACCGTATGGCCTTGACGATCGAAAAGTCATCTTGCAACCGTAGAAGAGCGAAAAGATATCGTAATCGTAGAAGAGCGAAAAGATATCGTAATCACATCGCCTTACACTCACCAATGACTACACCACGGTGCTACTAGTGAGAAGATTCAAGACACACAATGACTATAATGAAACAAACGCATTTCGTTTACACGCGCAGAATGAAATTGATGAGACCCTAGAATACACGCCGTCAAATGGATCGCAAGTGCATCTCAACCGATGCCATTATTTACCACCTCGCTTCCCAACTTCGAAGCCCTCGTTGTCCTTCCGTTCGAATAATACATGGAGACGTAAGACATGCCGCGCATGTTGGTGTTGCGCGTCACATGTGTAGATTGCTGAACGACTTTGCGTATCGATGCCGTTACATGATTGCTGCAGGTAGGTATTGTCATATCTGCAATGGAGGCTGCGTAATCGTCTAGCACTTGGCGTCACTGGCCTTGGAGTTCATGAGCAGGGCGACAATGAGTCCGTAAAGACCTGGTGTATGTCAGTATAAGCTTTCATCGCGATCGGCGAGTAACGTACCCAAGACTTCGGCGAAAATGAGAATCAAAATCATTCCGACGAACAACCTAGGCTGCTGAGCGGTTCCTCGTACACCGGCGTCACCAACAATGCCGATGGCGAAACCAGCAGCCATACCCGACAGGCCGACGGCGAGACCAGCACCAAGCTGGATGAAGTTGGCAAAGAGCGAAGACTCTTGTGTCAAACCGTTGGAGATCAACACGGACACGACGAGACCGTAGATACCAATAATACCCGCCATGACAACGGGAATAATGTCTGAAGCATGTTAACTATATTACGACATTACGGAGTTGATTGGTCTAGGCGTACTCTTGACAATCAGGTCAGGGCGGAGGACACCCATGGCCGAGACACCAACACCGGCCTTAGCGGTTCCGTAGGCAGCGCCGAAACCTGTAGATGGATATACCAAGTCAGTACTTGTTTCACGTGCAGTTCGCAAAGAGATACTACGTACACGCGAACACGATAGCTGACGTGCAGCCCATCGCGCCGAAGAAAGGCTATTTGCTCATTAGCCTAGTTCTTTGGATAAACATGGCGCAGTCTGTCGCGTCGACAATGTTGATTTCGAAATGCAAGCTGAAGCGACAGGAAGCAAGCAGTAAGACAACAGACAGCATGCTAAAGACTATGCTATGCAATGTTGATGGTTGTTGGAGCTACGTGATGGAAGGAGGTCGTCGCGGTGCCATCGCGTCGGGAGGCGAAGCGGAGGTTGGTTCGAGGACTTACAGCATAGACGGGGCTGTATTCATCGTGTTAGCTAGTGTTCGTGTTGTACGCCAATAAGGAAGCTTCTCCGATGCTCAGTCGACAGTCGCGAGCCCAGCTTATCTCCAAGAGGCAAGCTGGAGCTGCCTGCATGTGAGACAAGGGAGCTCCGTGTTCACTCACCAAAGTTCGGAGACCATCTTTGCGGTGGCGTATGTAATCGACGAGTCGTCTAAAAGGGTGTCGAGATCTTTATTGAGATGGACGGGAGTCGTGGATGCGGCGACGGGAGGCGGTTGTGATGTCGAGGAGTGGTGACGATGGTTGGCGAAGAGCTGGACGTCGCTCGCCTCGACACTATACCCATCCGGTCACTAGCCTGCGGCATCACGTGTGCCAAGACCGATAATCTTGGTAGCTATCAACTTTTCGGTTTCTCCGTTCTAAATTTTTAAACTACCACCTCTCCACTACATTCCGGGCGAGCAAGCAGTGTAAGTCGCATACCTACAGTCTCTCCGATCTACTATCGGCTTACTCACATCTCATAGGAATCCTCCTTCGGACGAGCTTCAGCAGTGAACCCTACCATCACCAAACCTCTACTACCATGGCCGAAGACAACAGCGCCGCATGGCCCCAGGCCGACCAGGCTCTCTCCCAGGAGATCCTCGACCTTGTGCAGCAGGCTGTGAGTTCTCTAATCCCAACAGACATTTCGAGACATGTACTGACTTGGTGCCAGACCCACTACAGGCAGTTGAAGAAGGGAGCCAACGAGGCTACCAAGACTCTCAACCGTGGTATCAGCGAGTTGATCATCCTCGCGGCCGACACCTCCCCTCTCGCCATCCTTTTGCACTTGCCCCTCCTTTGCGAGGACAAGAACGTCCCGTACGTCTACGTCCCATCCAAGATGGCTCTCGGCCGCGCTTGCGGTGTCGCCAGGCCCGTTATCGCTGCCAGCATCACGACCAACGAAGCTTCCGATCTCATGGGACAGATCCGCACCCTCAAGGATAAGGTCGAGCGCCTCCAGATCTAAGCCAACAGGGCTGCTTCCGGTACAAAGGATTGCAAGAGGTAGAGACTTGTTTCGCAATACTGGAAGGTTTACGTAGCGACAAGATGTCAGAGACTTGGGATGAAATACGCCCATTGTCTCTGTACGTAGACCGAGAATGAAATGCCGAGCGCAAGTCGGCATCGACTCTGCCAAAACTGAACTTCTGGCCTACATGCTGTCTTGATCTTGTGTAATGCGCGATTATCCTAGTACTAACAGATGCAGAAATTTGCTGGCGCATGATTCAGTTCCAGGAAGAGCGCATTCATTTTTTCTCCAATGCAGCGCTGTGATAAAAGCCTTAAGTATAGAATCTGGACAAACTCTATACAGATACTTGTACAAGATGGATGTGGCTGCGTAGGCCGAACGCAGCGCTACATTTCTAAGCCTCTGCCTAGGCTCTTCTTGTGCGATGCTCTCAGCAATATTACGTCACGTCTGTCATGCTCGGTACCCTGACTCTTTACTCCGAATCTTTCGAGCTGTGACTGCTATGTTATTTGAGTTACGTAGGCTGGACTGTGTAGCCACTTGTGTCTTCGACCTAGCCCAGTGCGTTGATGCTGTTCAGTTCAGAGCAAAACCACGTGGGCCATTTCAAGCTAGCCGGCGGGTACCTTACATCCGCTCGCGCCAGCATCGGGCATCCCAAGCGAATCTGCCAATTAAAAGAACATCGAAAGACTCACAGATTATTGTTCTCATCACGCAACGCGGAAAACAGCGAATTCAACCTAATGTTTTACTTTTATCATTCAATGACAAAGCACGCCTATAGAATTTCAAAAAGCGATCAAAGGAAACACGCCGAAGCTGCTACACATCAAAATGATAGAAAGCTACTGTCCGTCGCTAGCCCATCATTCGCCAAGCTGCAGGTAGAATTGCATCGACTTCTGGCATCAGTGTTGCGTCTACACGCCCATATACGCCAGTTAAATAGCTATAGTGATAGCTGGTATGACAACTGTAGTCATGGCAGAAGAACTGATGGATCTGGCGACCACCGCTTGACTCTGCGCCGGCGCAGTTCCTCCAATGTCGTTGTTCTTGCATGACGTGGCAGAGCACTTGTGATAGATGCTCATGGCATTCGCATTACCGCAGATCTCGTTGGCATTGCCCACACAAGGCTTGGAGCAGGAGCCCATGATACCATCTTTGGGTGCGTACTTGGGATTGAGGTTGTTGTTGCAGAAACATTCGTTGCCATTCTCAGGCGCTGCGTAGGCGAAGCCACGATTATTGCAATAGTCGACGCAAATCTCCACTGTCATGTAGTCATTGTACGTCCACGAACCATTCATAGCTCTATCGCTCACGTTATCCGTGCCGCATCCAAGATACTCCCATTTCTGGATCGCAGTCAGGTCGATGTAGTTGGTAGAGCCGCCGGAACCAAGTGTTGGTGAAGTTCCAGAGCATGTTCCTGATGTGGCGCGCTCTGGACCATAGGTGACGGGGTTGCAGCCAGGGAGTGCGGCAAGCTTTCCACTCGTTGGCTCGTTGACAGACGTTGGTAGCTTGCAGTCATTGCATTCTTGGTCAGTGAACATAGTGACCGCGGCGCAATCCTCAACCCGACCTGAGTCGTCCGTGCAGGTATCAATCGCCTCCTGAAGTACGTCTACGTCCCAGCCGTTGAAGAAGTCACCGTGGAACCCGAAGCCCGTTGCATCTCCTTGGGCGAAGACAAATGGATTCTGTCCATCAACCCATTGATCGCTGAACAGTGCCGTATCATAGAGAAGCTCGAAGAAGATCGACACCGTGTGAACAGGATGAGAAGGCGGACAGTTGCCACCGTTGTATACGTTGCCGTCTGGGTAGCTCATATGACTCTTGTGGTCCACAGAATCAAGGTTGACTCCATCCCAACACTGGGGAAAGTAAACCTGGGCTCGCAGTCCGCCTGGACATGGAATATCAGGAAAACCGTTAGTTTCAGGTTTGTTCGCACCAAGACAGTTGAATGAGATGCCCTGGGCGGCAAGACTACCATCATAGGTGCGGGTAAACGGGTCACCCGCGACCATGCGGAAGCCTTGTGGAAATGCATGCAGTTTCTCCGTCTGATTGTCTCCACGACGTTGGAGATAGTAAACGGTCATGCCGCCGTTGGTGTCGCTTGGGTCTAAATCCAGGCGCACGAACTTAGTATGTTTCTCACATGTAGCTTGTGCAGGAACATTTACCGCCCATGACAGGAACTGGAGCGAAGCCAGATCCATCTTTATATTTGACATATAGTTGAGGTGTCCAGTAGTTAGACATATCCTCCTTGATCGTGCATGATGAGCACTTCGAAGCTTGAGTGTCTGCGTAAGTCATAGAGGCTTTGAAACCTGCGCCACCGGAGATTGTATGGACGTGACCAGAAATG